GTACACACACTACACTACACACACACGACACACACACACTCACACTACACACACACACACACACACACACACACACACACACACACACACACACACACACACACACACACACACACACACACACAAACTGACACAAACACTATCTCTCCCCTTCATCTTTTCTCTTTTCACTCTTTGACCTACTGTCTTTCCCTCTTGCTGCTTTTCTTTCTAGTTGAGTTCCTCTCTTTCCCTGTTAATCTTTCTCATCATCTCTCACCTGCTCTATTACTCTATGCATTTCTGCTGTGTGTGTTTCACTAAGAAAGCAAATGATGGAAGGAAATGTGGCAGTGATCTGAATTAACTGAAGTCATCTAACATGGGGGAAAAAGTAAAAAAGAAAGAAGAAAAAACGAGGGGGGAAATGAAAGAAGATGAAAGAGAGTAAAATAGAGGATGTCAGAAAGAAAAGAGGAGGAAAGGGAAAAGACTCCTGGCAGGACGGTGTACTGAAGTGTATCTAGGATTGGTGGAGAAAAATATTCTTGACTGACACAATGTTGTAATATAATCACACTGAGACACCTAGTGGACTTTCACTGCCACACATGGACATGTATACTAACACACAGGGTGCTGCAACATTGATCTAATCCTGCAAACGTGTCCCATATTGCAAATCCAACGATCAATAAATTACTGTAGGTTACAAAATCTCACATTCATCAAGCAATATTTTTCCATTTCCCCTTTTTTAAATGTTCTCCGAGTACTTTTTATATTTCCACTTGTGTTTTATTTAATTATTATGCCTGTATAACGGTAACCATGCTCAGAGGACTGACTCTAAACCTAACTGTTTAACCTCAAATGAATGCAAAACATAAGTTACAGGTGATTGAACATTAGGACACGCTAAAAATTGCAAAAAGACTACAACCCAAACTCACACCTTAGGATAAACCGTTAAAAAAAAGGCATTTGGATTGGAATTATTCGGAGATTAGAAGATAAAGTTGGTCAGCAGTTAGCCCCACTATTGGTAAGACTACAACATCCAATAACTTTTTATTCTGGGGTAATAAACAGTCCCCAGTGTGGCTACAGACTACAGACTCATTTGCTCATGTTAACAGCTTTGTATGAATTGTTTCAATAGTAATCCTGTGTTGACTGCTTACTCTAAAACCGCACAACAGAAAACCCAAATTACATTTACACTTTGTATGAGGTACAGCAGAGACAGGACTACAGCCCAATGCCTGTCTGCTGCTGCATCCATTAAGCTACATTTAACTACGCACCAGAGACACACAGTCAGACATACACACTAACAAACACACACACAACATACAATGTCAGGTTAATAAAGCTTACGTGCACTGACACAACAAGCTAACATGCCTTTGCATATTATAAGCACACAGAGTAAAACATCTGCTCACGCTGTTCTGAAAATGAAAATGCAGTAACACAATCTGGCAGACACACACACACACACACACACACACACACACACACACACACACACACACACACACACACACACACACACACTCACACACACACCCACACACACACACACACACACACACACACACACACTGCAGAGAGAACAGATTAATAGCATGAACTCTTAAGAGACTGAGTGACAGACATGCATGCACACACATGGATATCCATATAGCAGTGTGTAACAGCTGTGGGACTCCTCCCTCCCCCCCCCACTGACCCAGATCAGTGGTGATAGAGAATATTCCCCAGCCTCCCCTCTCCCAACATGAAGAAACTCTTATTTTTTCAATCAGATTAATAAGGAGTTGTATGCCAAACTTCCTATGAATTTACAGCAGAAAACCTGGGTTTGAAATGTAACCGAATTATGGTGGCAGCTTTGTAAAAGTCCTTTGCAATAAGCTGAACACTTAAAGGCAGCTTTAAACTCCAGCTAAATTATACATTGTTTATTCAGCAGTGTTCCACCATCCCAGCAAGAACATAATAGTTTAACATAACAAAACAGTTTTATGGGAAATCTCTCTCAAACCAGACAAAATGTTTTACTCTGTACATTGTTAACTCAAAATGAGGATATGGAAGAAACTACTTATTTGTTTATTCGATTTTATTGTATTAATTTCGGCCACTGATTTATTTAACCTATTATTCCAGGATTTGTATTTGTACTAGTTTTCCTAAATTTATTTAGTGCATTTCCCAATTAATACATTTTAAGGTGCACTATTTGGGACCTTTTATTAAGAGTCACATTCTTAACAAAAATCTACTAACACAAAGTACTTTTGTACTTTTGAGAGCTGTGCTCTCTATTTTATCACATCAATATACATACATGAATACATTTAACTATAATCCTTAAACACCATTAAGCACCACTGTTATGGAGCTATTTCAGGTTCATAAGTTTTGATCATTCAACATTGTTTATTTGAAAGTTCAAGTTTTTATCCTGAACTTTGAAAAATACAATGATGTATTCAAACCAAAAATAAGTATTTAAAATCATTTTTCAGGTTGAATATTATTTTTGATTCAGTTCAGCAATTATTTTAAATAAAATATTTCACTTTTATACATATTTTGATATTTGAATCCTATTTTTTTCAGTTGCAGATTTTACGTTTTCAAATTCAAAACAATTATTTTTTCAGTTTGAAATCTTGTTTTTTCAGGTTTCACATTTCTTTTCACTTTCA